TATAAGGTGCCAGTGTTTCAAGTACTAGGTGTAGGAAGGACATGGGTTTTTAGTGAAAAGGGCTTCATGGGACAATGTAAGATTTATGGCTTATGACTCTTGGTGAGTATACAGGAAAATTCCAACTGAAATAGACACATTTAAAATTGGCACTGTCTCTGGCGTCTTGGTGATACTTTGCAATAATACATTTATCTACCACAATGTGCAAGTAAAGTAGCACCTTTTGGTGCTTGAATCATTAGACTTCTTGGATGTTCCGAAACAACCCAGCACGCACCTGCCTCATTAAAATCTGCTTGGAGTGTGTAGTAACTACTAAGGACTGGGTAGACTTTGAACTGCTGAGTAAGTTGATTGTTTGGCACAAGTGTATGTTGATTATGTTGAAGGAACAAGTGCACAGGTAACAGATAGTATTGTTACAAGCTTGTCACAATACTCTTAAAATCTTTAGGAGCCCTATTTTATTTTGCATGTGACAGGAGGGCCATCATCAAGCAATGAGCCCAATTTTAAAATTATAAAGTAAGATCCTCTTGGCTGTAGCAGTCTTTTCATAGCTCTTAAAGGAGACTCCCTTAGTGAATGGGCCAGGAGTTGCATCCTCAGAACCTGGCAGTGTAAACCTCAGCCAAAGCAGCTGCAAGGGAACCCTCTACAGGAATCTGTATGTGTGGCTTCTCATCAATTATGCCTTGTAAAAAATGCTGAAGCCTTTTTAAAAATTGTACCCGTTTTCTCTTTGATTGACTTTTCTAGGCTATGTCACGGCTGTGTGAATACAAAGACTTGCATCTAGGCGTCGCCGCTATGAGAAGGGCCGTCAGCATGGATTTCATCGGTGCTCGGCATACTAATGCCATCTTATCTTAAAGAGAGAAATTAGCATTACAAGATCCTGGACTTGTCAACTATAAAGACTACAAAATATCACTTCTCCTGCTGAAAAAGTCCAGCAAAATTAGGATTTTCTTTTATGTTTTTTAAAAAAATGTTTATTGTTGTTATTGTTGTTGCTGTTGTTGTTGTTGATTAGGATTTTCATAGAGCAGAGGCTTCTTCAAATAACCACACTGTGAAGCTGGGTGATGGCAGCATGAACAGTGGTGCCAGGTGCTACCTGCCCTTCTTGTTCCACTGAGTCCAGATGGCATTCCTAGGGCACCACCTTCTTGAACAACTCTTGGGGAGGAAGACTGTCACATGGACACAGCACATCCCAGTTCAGAGTCCTCAGTCACCCACAGTCCCAAGCAGGTGACAGTCTGAGCTGAGCCGGAATTCAAAAAACTTTAGAATTGGCTCCAGATTTGTGAGAGTACCTGGGTTTGGATCTCTGTCCACGGAGGCACTGAATGCACGATGGCCCCAAACGACAAGTGTGGGAAGAGAGAATGGCATGGGGACAAGGCTGTCATCACTCCAAGTACCATTGGGGCTCAGTCCTGTTCATCTAGTCTTTGGAGGGAATCTGTGCAAGTGAAATGAGGCTCCCACATCGTGGTTATAAAGGGAGAGATGAAATCAGCTCATCTTCCCCCAGGCCCATAATGGTCATGCCAAAACACAGAGTCTTGCTGTGTTACCAGGCTGGAGCGCAGTGGCAGGATCTCGGCTCTCTGCAACCTCTGCCTCCCGTGTTCAAGTGACTCTCCTGCCTCAGCCTCCCAAGTAGCTGGGACTATAGGCATGAACCACTAACCCAGCTAATTTATATATTCTTAGTAGAGACAGGGTTTCATCATGGTGGCCAGGTTAGTCTTGATCTCTTGACCTCGTGATCTGCCTCCCTCAGCCTCCCAAAATGCGTAAGGAATAAAGGAAAATGGATTCCCCTGTGGGAATTCTGCTAGACTCTTCCTTTCTTTTCCCTTTAACCTAGGGGGAGCGTCTTGAGGTCACATGGGGTGAGGCGACCACGAGTGGGGTCCCTAGAGCTGCCGCTGGGAGGAGTGTGTATGTGGAGATGGGTTTCGTGGCCACGTTTCTTCCTCGGGTCTTTCTGGTTGTGATGGTGGCTTTGAGGATGGTTTCTGAGGATCCTCTCCAGGGGAGTCCTCCACCTGTGGTGTCTCCCTTGGGGGAAGGCCCGAGGATATCTGGAGAGGGATTCATAGGGTCACCCCTGTGTGACAGAGGTGCCTTGTGCGGGTCCAGAAAGCAGCGTTTTAGGGGCTGTGGAGCCTCATCTCCCCTGCAGGGTGGGCGGGATGTCTGAGGGAGTGCTGGAGGGAAGCCCTGTGTGTCGGGGTCTCTGTGTAGTCTCAGTACAGCCCTAGACCTGGGGACGTCATGATGGAGACTCAGAGGTGCTTGGGGCAGGGAAGGGGACAGCCTAGGCAGTCACCAAGGTGTGACAGCATCGCTGATGCCAGGAGGCAATTTTGGGAGGGGTCTTTGGAGGGGAATAATTGTGGAGTCCCCACGGGCGGGGAAAGTATGAGGGTGCTCCAAGGTTGGAGGTCACTGCGGGGTGGGTGGGAATAACCTAGGGGGGCTCTCAGGGGAATAATGGGCCCCCCAAGGGTCAGGGGTGGAAGGGAGGGGCCTCGGCAGGTCCTGTGTTGCAGGGCCCTTTTGTAGGGCGTCTGAGAGATGGATCCCGGGGGTTCTGGAGGTCACTGGTACCCCGGGTGGGGTGTTTTCCAGGGTCAACGCTTCCTGGGTCCTAGAGCAAGGAAATGAAACTGGCTTCTTCCTGCCCACCGCCTGGTTGGCGCTTGGCAAATCCCTTCGGGGAGTCCCGGGGCTCCTGGGCAGGGAAGCTCCTTGAGCCCTGGGGGACAGACAGGCCACCCCTTGAAAGCCGGCAGCAGGAACAGATGGAGCTATGCACCTCTGCATCCTTTTATTGTCGAATTGGAATTGGGTTTTCTTGGCGATGGTGCAGGTCTGAGGGTGAGTCCGGTGCTTCCCCTGCTCCTTCTCTGCCAGACACAGTATTCATTGCAGATCTGACTCCCTGGGCTGGTGCTGAGGGGACCGTGGCCTGGTGCAGGGCGATATCCAGGCTCCAGGGACTGTCAGGGGCCATCTGCGCCCTGCAAGCACCAGGTCCACCCCAAGCTCCTGTGCTGCCCGAGGAGGGCGCCTGGCACCAAACGCAGACCCACAGCCTGAGCTCCTGAGATTCTTTTTATTTTTGACACAGAGTCTTGTTCGGGAACCAGCCACGCCAGGTAGGGATACAAACAGAAGTAATGCGGAGGGCTGGAAAAAAAAGAAAAGAAAAAGAAGGCAAATTATTGAATGTGGTAGTCATGAAATACGGGGTTTTGTATTGGATTTCATTGTTACTTTGGGTTTAGAATGAGTGACCGAAGGTAGTTTTAGGACTGGGATAGACAACTGTAAAGCTCCAGGCAACTGGGACCAGGAGGGTCTTGCTGACCTTCCTGTGAGATGGCTCTTTTGAGCTGTATTTGATAAGGGATATACCCAATCCAATGAGTACAGCTTCACATTCCTAACAGTCTGTGAGTCACAGTGGTCTTCAATGAATTAAAATCATTTCCTTTGCTTTTCTGACCTGGTTAAACGAATCACATGGTTCCTGCCCATTAATACCCCTACGTCAGTAACCAAACACGTGCCTGTTAGCTTGCTGCCTTTCTTTTCTTTATTATGCTTTGAGCTGGACAAGAAATATATTTCATTTTTACAATCTGTGACTTGGGTTTCTGAAAGTCGAAAGTACCTTAGTGTATGTTGATATGTTTATTTTTTTAAATGCTTTACTGGGGTATACTTTGCATTCACTCTCCTTTGCCACGTCAGATCTAGACAACAATCAATTTTATGTCTCTATACACGAGCCTATTATCAAAATGTCTAATACCCAGGATCATGAATTATGTGGTCTTTTGGGCCTGGTTCTTTCAGTCAGCCTAATGATTGTGGGTTTCATTTCTGTGGTAGCGTGTCTCATTACATCATTCCTTTTGGATGGCAAGTAGTGTTCTATTGCATGGACAAGACCACATATGAGCATGTTATGAGCATCCATATAAGAGTCTTTATGATTAGAGGAATTTTATTTCTTTTGCATACTAACTTTGTGTTAGAGGTTCTGTGTCCTCTAGTGATTTTTTGTGCAACATTTTGAGGGATAGCCCCATTTGTGTTTTGTTTGTTTTGTTTTCAAGGTGGCTACAATATTTTACATTCCCATTTGCAGCATATGTGAGCTCCATATTCCTCACTTCTTTTCTGACATTTGTCATTGTATCTTTGCTATAGCCATTTAAGTGGGTGTCAATTAGTATTAATTGTGGTTTGACTTGTATTTTCTTAACAACGAATGAAATTGAGCCAATTGGCAAATTGTGTATCTTCTATGGAAAATGTCTATTCAGTGATCATAGAACCTCTGTCCTCCCCCTGAATATCTGCAATTCAAAATCCCAGGAAACACATGGAGCGGCAGGGTTCAAGTTGGGGACACTGGGAAGTCCTCAGGCCACCCCCCCAGGAGAGCAGGGCGAGCTTGTGATGGCCCTGAAGCTCTGACAGCCCTGCCCACCTGAGACAGGGGCCCACACAGAGGAGGTGGTCTTGCTGGTCCCCCAATGCCTGGGTGTCCTCTAGAGACATTTGGGAGAAGGTCCTTTGCCAACAAGGATCCCTGCTAGCCAGCAGGCAGGTGTGAGTGTGTGTGTGTGTGTGTGTGTGTGTGTGTGTGTGTACCAGAATTCTAGTGTTCACAGTGGAATTTGAAAATGACAGTGTAAAGCTAAAAATTTAATCACACATCATAACACACCTGCAAAATTAAACCACTGCATAACAACACTCTGCTCTGTGCTAGGTGGGTTGTTCCAGAACTCAGGGCCCTGGGAACCTCCCTCCCGACAGCGCACTATACAGCGTGTGAGGCCACATACATGTGAACCAGGGTGGAAACCAGCACAAGAGCATGGACCAGGACCCATCTGATGCCTCCAACAGGGCTGAGGATAGTCCCTTGTCCTTCCTGAGCATTTTCACTGGGGCTGACCTGGGAGGTGCATGAGGCACTGGGGTTGGGAATTGTGCAGAAGTGCAGAGAGCATGGGGGCCAGGAACTGATGAGGGGGTGAGAAATAGGCCTTCCAACTGGAGGGGTCTGGGGAGGCACCCAGACCAGGACCACATTTGGGAAGAGAGACAACTGGCCCTGGACATCCTTTCCTTGTGAAGACCAGCAGCCGTGGGACCCGCAGAAGGGCTAGAAGATGAACCCCCTCAGAGGCACACCACTTGAGCACATCCTTACAGGGAGCCAGGAGCAGCCATGGTGTCCCCTGCAGACCCAGATCTGTGACTGGAAGGTGGGACTCCCTGGAGGAGCAAGGAAGAGGTTCTTCAGTGGGGCAGAGGGCCACACTCCAGGAGGGGTGGTGCATTCACGCTTGACCATTCCTGCAACCCTTGCAGTGACTGAAAGTGCTCACCATAAGCAGCCAGAACCTACCTTCTGGGGACCACAAGAGGCATAGGGACCTCACGTGCTTCTTTGTGATCATGGCTGAGGACTGGCAAGGCCGAATCATCGAACACACACGGGGCTTTCACCTGAATCAGTAGGTCCCTGCCAGCCTGCAGTGACCCCCTGACATGCTATTGGTTCTGGGTCTGTGGGAAGACACTCAGCCACCCACTCAGTGACCACCCCCTCTTTGTAGATCCATGACCTCTCATCACAACCCCAAACCTACACGCAGCTCTTCTGAAGCCCTTCCCTAGCAGAGCTGCTCAACCGGATCAGCTGGACCTGCAGAATCCACTTTGCAGGAACGCAGAAGAAAAGGTGGTGCGTGTGCCTCTTCTGCCCTGCCTGTCTCATGCACACAGGGAAAGCAGATGAACTGGCCAGCCTGAACTCCAGCACTTCC